TTCGAAAAACTGCCTTTAATTAAAAATTTGAACGATTAATCATTATTATTATTTTGCTTTTACATTAAATTTAAATAATAGAAATAAATATTTTTAAAAATTTTATTAGTGTTTCAAAAACTTTCCAAAACTTGAAATTATAAATCATTTCAAAAATGCATTTTCCAACGCCTCAGGAGACTTTTACAGATTACAACATTGAGATTTTATGTTGAAAATAACTCCCTATTGCTTATATATATATACGAGCACGAGCACTGCTATAAAATATATACCTATATATGTGAAAAAATTTTCTAAACTTACTAAAATCACGTAGAGAAAGAACTGCACAGATTTATATCTCGTTATAATGATGAGTGCACTGATGGTGAATACATTTCGGACGATTTTATGAGATATCATCATCATTTAATCGATAGAATCTTTACTTCAAGAAGATAAGAATTAATTCAAAAATTAATACAAAAAAAAAGCAAATGAATAATTATGATATACTGTAAATTCGGTAAATCCCTGTTTACATTATTAATTTGATGAAAATTCCTCCTTATAAATGACAAGCATATAAACTAACGAAAAATTTTTCTTCACAAATACTGGTATATTGAAGTGTATAAAAGTGTAAAGATTTAATTAGCGACCATTCTATTGCAATAAACTCAATTATATATGTAAAAGAAACAATTTATATGTAGATAAGTATTTATATATAATTATCTCATATTATGCTTGCGAATTTGTTGAATTCATCGCTAGAAACTAACAATATGAATCAATTGAGAAATATTTATTTAACTGTGTATATTTTTGCTTTTATTCTTTTTTTTTTTTTTTATAAATTTTAAGTTTGAAATTTTATTTAAATATGTTTTTAAAAAAGGATGAAATCAATCTAATAAATTGAAACAATAAAATTTGATAAAATCTCATCTTTAAAAATGCCAGAATACTTTCAAAATTTGAAACTCTCATTTCCAATAAAGTAAAAGTAAATTTATTTTTGCTGTTGACAAAGTATTGGATGGACATAAATCGGAGTACCGTCGACAATATCTTGCAGTTAAAAACAGTTTATTTTATTCGTTTTTCATAAATGTTAGAAAAATTTTTTTCTAATACAAATATACAGCATGTACTGTACTGTACAGTACATTCGTATTAAAAATACATGCTGTATATTTGATATGTTGCTATATATTTGTATATTAAATATGCATAACGCGGCAAAAAAACTTTTCTATGTTTGAAAAGAAGTCTAAGTTATCATACAGTTTAAAAACACGATTCTTTCAAAATATCTAAAGAAAAAAACATTTAAAAAAATAAAAACTATATTGCTTATATTTACTTCAATAATTATAAAATATAACGAAATATTTAATTTTTTATAAACAAAATATTTTTTCTAAATTGTGTGTAAATTAAATAATTTAATTATAATTTTAGAAATTACTTCTTAATGCACTCTGAGCAGAAAAGGTTATTCTTTACTACCAAACCATTTAGAGTTTTTACTTTTTTTTTGTTTTTCTTAGACTACTGCATGTTGTATACGAAATAATGTGTATCATTTCCTTGATATAAATAATCTTTAGTGTCGAAATGCTTTGATATTTTATAATTAAGTATACGGTTCACGTCCGTTAAAATGAAGATAGAAAAGCATCTATATAGAGATCTTAATAATGTATTAAGTTTTATTAGTTATACCAGCTCAAATGGAAGTGGAGTATTGCTAATACGTGACGCCCGGCAATTCGGTTAAGATCGAACAAATTCTGACATTTTCTTTGAAAAAATATCCTAAACGCGATGACGTGGGAGATATAAAATACTATACAAACACAAGACATTCTAACGATATCAAAACGTCAATGTCAGCTTTCTCGTCTCAATTTAAAAATAAAAAAAATAATAAAAACTGAAAGTGAAAGATTAAGAAGAAAAAGGCGGTTCATGCCTTTTATTAGGATACAAAACTCAATCATAGGAAGGTTTTCAATAAGATCGATCGACATGGAAATTAAATACAGTAAATATATAAAGACGGGCGTTTCCCACTACTACATCAACATGATATAAATTTCATGTAATATCCCGAACATTACCGTGTTTAGTCCCGTATAAAAAATTCTAAACACGTGTCTCTTTTCGTAACCGTGATTGATAGACATTTAAATTTTTAACAATGTTAAGTCCACGCCGAAGATAATACGAAAGGGTAATTTTTTTAAATACCTATTTTTTTTAACTTCTGATCCAACAAAACTTCGATACACTCTTTCCTTCCTTCCTACTATATTAAATAATATAAAGATAGAGAAAGAATAAACTTGTATGTATTGCATTTTTTAAAATATTAATACAAATCCTATTTGAGAACCTATGACGAATACATTTAGAATAAGTTTCACCCAGACTCATAAATAAATAAACTTTAAGAATAAATAATACAATAAAATAAATCCTTCGTCGATCGAAAATACGCGACCTTCAATAGAAACGAATCATGTTTCTTTTCCATTATTTTCATTAATCTCGATACGAATTATCAATGAAAAACGGCGTAAATACACCAGAAATTTTATTTAAACTACAACAGAACGTTCAATATTAATAATAATAATAATAAAAAGGCGCACATTACGGAAATGAAACTGGGCGAATTATCAAAGCGAGGTCGATAGAGAGATACACAATTTATTCGTCTACAGTAAAGGAAGCCAGCTGATTACCTAAGTCCGAAGATACTTGTGAATCGAAAGGAATAGCAGTATGTTGCTAGGATACCGATGCATGGACTATCAGAACAGTTGGGGAAGCCGTCTGTGGGACAGGCAACATGTGCACTTTCCATCTGTACATCTATGAGCAAATGACATAACTATGTTTTGTTGTTACCGCACAGGTGAGTCTGAAATATTTTTACTTTATACAATAGATAAACTCTAATACATTACTATTCTATGAGGCGTAGGATGTATGACAGTTTATCCAAATACGGAAGAGTGAGTCTGGCATCCCGTCTATCGGAGAAAAAAAAATTAGTATTAGCGGGAATACTTACAATTCAAATCTATTTTGATAAAAGCGTTTTACTACGTCGACTTGTCTAGATTTAATATCCGCTAGTAATGTACTGGTTTTTCAATTAATCTAATTTATTTAATTACTCTCGTTTCATCGTAAAACTAATTTTATTTTCCCTTTATAAAATATGTGTAATAAACACTTTTAGTATACGATAAAGCTATTATTCTGTTTATCATCTTTATATGAAAGAGAAAATTTACAGCTTGTTAAAGTTTTGCTTTATAAATACTGTAAATCTAGCCAAATAAAGGTGTAGATATAAGAAGAGATGCTAATGATATTCGGTTTTATTTATATTAAAAAAAATGTTTAATTATCCAGAAAAACGCCATGAGCTAATACTAATTATACAGAAAAGAATGAATAAATTTCACTAATGATTATCTCTCTTAATTACTTACACAATTATAAAATAATAAATTAAAAACAATTTATCATTTCTTTAAAATGATAAAAAAAATAAATTATAATTTAGGAAACGTTAAAAATTTATATATAAACACACAAATGTATAAAATTTACTGAAATATATCTATAATTTGTAATTAAAGAAAAATATTTTTAACAGACTGAAAATATTAAAAAGAAAGATTTAACTAGTTCAAATTTTTAAGATATTTTTCTTATGTTTTTACGATTTTAACATAAAAAATTATTTATAGTTTTATAAATATATTTCAATAGTTACAGTCTTTCAAAATTAAACTTAAATTGATTTTCAGATTGAAATAAACTTTTACATTAAATTAATTTCAAATGAATAAAATAAAATTGATTCAGAATAATTAACATAACCTATCTTTAATTCAAATAATTACTACAGATAAGAAATAACTCTTTATAAATATTCATGATGGTTGAGAAAATGAGATTTAATTAATTTTATTTATTATAATTTTTTAAATTGCACTCTTACGAATTTTTTTTTAACCTGAAGAAATAATTTCCATTTCTAAATCTGTAAAAATAAACATGCAAATGTATTTGAATGTCAAAGCAACTGTAAATATACAGAGAATTGGCAATTACTATTTTAAATTATTTAGGATAAATATTTTAAAAGCTTTAGGAATTTATATTAGATAGCTACAAATTAATCAATTAATTAAAATAAATTATCTCTCCCTAATGGTATAATTAAACTTTAAAAAAGATAATTTAATAATTTTGAAATGTTTAATTTGTTAATCTTTCAATTTATTTTTATTAAAGATTATTTTGAAATTCTAAATATAAATAAATTCTCTTCTCATTGTTTATTTTAAATATATAAAAACATCTTCATTTAAAAATAAAAACTTACTTTGAAAACTTTTTGTTACTTGGTAAGACATAGTTTGATTTAATCCCAGAGTTAAATAAGTTTATTACTAATATGTAAATATATTCAAAATGATTTACATTTTAATATATAAATCATATTCTGAAAGAACGTTACACACATATTTATACATATAGTACATATATAATGTATAAACTAAACTATGCATATTATTTTAAAAATCTGAATTAGATTTTAATATCATAAACAAATGAACGTTTAATAAACTTAGGAAAATATTTATTAATATAATTAAGAACTGCACTAATATTTTGATTCTTAGTTATTTTATTAAATCAGACCAAACAAATACCAGAAATAATGTAGTAATTAGATCATTTTTTGTTCAACATATATTATTATAATAATACTATTACATAAGAAAACTTCATTTACTGCTATGCTATGCAATACTGCAATATGCTTGCTTTTGGCTGTAAAGATACAAGCAAATTTTAATTAACAGAAATTAAATATACTAAATTAAACTTTTAATTTGCATTTTACATTTTATAATTACATGAATAGAATTATTATCAATCCCTTACAATTGTTTGATTCAATAATATCATTTAATATTTTTTATTTTTATATACATAAACATTACATAAAAATAAAAAAATTAAAAACTTTTGATGTTTTGTTTTATAGAAAAATTACTTACATTTAGAAATTCTCTACTTTTATTCATTTTAATTTGTTTTTTTCTTTTATGCTTAAAATCTCAGATTTATTAAAATAGTTTCAAACAGTGAAAAAAAAAAATTATTTTAGAACTTGTATTCAACACTATGGAGATACAATACAATTGATAATTCATGTTGCAACTGAATTAACCAAACAAAAAATTATAACATTATAATTTTTTTTCAGGCATTACAAATTATATAGTCAGGTAAAATATGAATAAAACCTTAAGTTAAAAATTTCATTACATTTGCATGTTTTATTTAGTTAAACACTGATATTTATTTATTTATATAAATAAATCCATACTATATAATTATTTTTGTTTGAAACAGTAGATTTTACTTCATTAATATTAAGAGTGATTAATAATAGCAGATTATTGTAAGAATATGTGAAACATGTAATTTTGAACTTTTAACCAAACCTGCTATAATGTTTGCAAAACAGCTTTTCAACTTTAATTAAAAATAATTTCAAGACTAATTCAATTATATTTCTTTAAACTTTTACTTACTTTGTTAATGCATGTGAATTATAAAGATTTCATTTAAGTCTATTTATCACATTAATTTTCAATTTAAGGTTTTGGAACTGAATAATATAATTTTCTCAAAAGTTTTGATTTTTTTATTAAAACAAGCAATACTGACATTAAGCTATTTTATATTATATCTTCAATTTTACTTTTCATTAATTTATATAAATATAATAATCTATGTTTTCACAATTATACAGAAATAATAAACTTATATATAAAATTAAATTAATAATTTTATATTAAGTAATAAAAATACCACAAATTTTCAAAGTAAAAGAGATTAGCTTCACTTTAGTAGGAAATACTTATAATCTACAAAACATTACTTTGAAAATGCAAAAGAAAAAGTACATGAAAGATCAATACATTATATTTGATTGAATATTCATCATATTCTTCCAAGCTAGCAAAAAAATTATATTTGTTCTTAAACAAAGAAAGTTAACTAATTTTTCTGTTAGTTAACTAAGTTTCAAGTTAAATAATTAACTAAAGAATGAGGATAATAGGTTGAGTTAAAAGTTATCTTGGTCAATCTTTACAATATCTTACATTTCATCTTATAATCATACTGATTTAAGGAAGCATATAACTCAAAATATCAGTGAAAAAATGATAATTGATTCTAAAGTAAAATTATTCCGTATCCAGAATCAATTCTGTAATGTTTAAAAGCAGCACAAGTAATAATACCAGTGTTTTCATATTGATATTAATGTTGAATTTTCATATTCTTCTCATGTTTTGCAAAAATTTGAAGGACAGTGAATTGAGTTAGCTATGAAAACAGTAGTTATTTCAAATGTATCTGTAACCAATAAATACAACCAATAAATGGTTCTGGTAGTTTGAAAAATTTATGAGTAATTAAAGTATTTATTTCAATTTTTACTCACTCATCTCCTGTTAAAAAGTAATAAACTCCAGCATTGAAAAAATCTGGGGATACATGCATTTTAAAAATAAAATCCTTGGTGTTTAATTGAGGAAATATGATATAGTGGACTCCCATACAACACAGAGGATACATTCCACTTTATAGGAAATTGCATTATATGAGACATGTATTATTAGATGATTTTATTGCAATTTGAAAAATTGTAAACATATAAATTCTCACTGTCATCAATCCATCTGTCCTTAATCTTGAGAATGGGGTTAGATAGATGACAACTAAGACCAGATGTGGAAAGATTAGGGGTAGAAGGACTTGATTGACTATATACAAATTTCCAATGCAAACTGGAAATCACATTACAGTATTTCAATTCAAAAATTTTCCCAAAAGGAATTAGATAGATGACCAGCATCTATTGCTAACAGGAAAAGTATGGTGTACAGAGGCAAAACACTACTAATTTGAGGTAAAGAGTATATATTTTAAATTAAATAAATTAAAAAATATGATTAAAAATTTCAGCTTGGCATTGTGACAATGTTACAATAAATAATTTCTCATGCAAGTTTAAATTTCTCTCCGAGTTCCAGCCCTGGTGATATATTGCTTTAAACAAAAGGTTAAAAATAGCCACAATGCTAGAAACATATTTTATGAAAATTTATCTGTCAATAGCGTGTTCTACAAAATTTAAAAGAAAATTGAATGATTGTCCCATCTCCACATTTTCAAGCTAAAAATGATCTGGATAAAGAATTGTGTTTAAATAATGAGAATAATAAAGATGAAACTATGAACTCTTCTAGTGATGAATCTGTACAGCCAATACTAACAAGACAATGTCATTGAAACTTATTTGTTAAAACTTCTGATAGTAAATAATAAACTTTTACATCTTTTTTCACTATTATCTTCACTATGTATATACAAGTAATAGTATAAACAATAGGTAAGTGTATGCATTCTGCATTCTACACAAAAAGTCAAAAAAGTATATCAAATGTTAAATTTATCCTATACATTATACAAGACTGTTTATAGTGTTGTATCTAATATAGTGTTGTAAATAGTCACAATTTTATCATTGTGTTATATGAATTCATATTATATGGGAGTTCACTGCATTTAGTATAAAATTTTATAAATGTTTAATTAATATATATATTAATTGTACTAGAGTCTTATCTATGATGTCAGATATAAATGCATGAATAACTGAAAATCAACGAGAGAAAATAAATTTAGATTATTTAATAAATCACTATGCAAAAATTCAAATATTTGATTTAACATAATACTTCTATATTTTTCATTATTTATAAATATCTATCATAACTTCAACATGCCATCCATTAGGAAAATGTGGAATGTTATAAATTCATTGGGTGGCAAAAAATTTTTCAAAGAGCATGTAAGTTTTTGTAACAAATAGTTTTTATTATAATATTAAATATACCTGTGACTTTTGACTTAATCTAGTTTTAAAGACAACAAATTAAGTAAATTAACTTTAATTCTCTTAAAATATACATTCATTAATGATATTAATATTCTGGTCAAAGTTTTAATGAGAACAGCAATTACTATGAAATAAGATATTTGATAGCATCATAAATATATGTTGCAATAACAGTTTAAGTCACATCTGAAAACTGTATGAACCTTTAAATTAAAAATAGCAAAATTAACAAACTCATTACTGTGAATACATTGAATAGGTTTTTACGGATTGTTTCTGCTATTAATTAATTTGAATGATAAAAGATAAACTTAATATCTGTTATCAAGTTAAAGATAATATATAAATACAGTATATCATCAGTCTGAATATAATTTTTATAATAAATTAATGTCATAAACATCTGACATGAAATTTTTATACTGCTTATGTAGCATGTATAAAATATCTTTCATATCAACATATGCACTTTTATAGATTGTATTTTTAATTATAAGAAGTATAAATGTAAAAATTTGATATTCACATAGCATTTTACAAATATTAAATAATGAATAATAGTTTTTCATTGTATTCACTTATAATTTGAATGAAAAGATAAATTATATATGTTTAGAATTTTATTTATTATTTTACACTTAGTCTAGATCAAATAGACACATATACATGCAGGCATATCACACCAGTTCACGAGATTAAATTTCAAAATCTTTAATGATTATTTAACACCTATTAAAAACTCTACAATAAGTTAAGACTCTTTTTGACAATTATATAATAGAGAACACTTAAAATGCATTTCAGACTCAATATGTCCCTCTTCAGTTGTGTTCATACATAAATATAAATTATAATTATTGTAGAGTTTTTAATAGGTGTTAAATAATCATTAAAGATTTTGAAATTTAATCTCGTGCACTGGTGTGCCAACATGTCTATTTGATTTAGACTAAGTGTAAAACAATATTAAGGGCTAAAAGCAATAGATTATTCCATAATTTATTACATTGATTTGACTATTTACAGGACAAAAATATAATATAAATTTGTTTAAATATCTAAAATTAACAAAAACTTAAAATGTAACTTATTATCATAATTAATACAGGTATACCTCGACTTATGTCGTTTCGAGTTACGTCGTTCCTGATTATACATCATTTGTCAAAAAAGTATATGGAAAAATAAAAATCAAGTTTAAGTCATTTTATTTGACTTTACGTCTGTCTGCCACAAATATTGAAGTCGTAATATCACTAGAAAAACGTCATATTAAATATAGAAAAATCATATTAAAATATATACATTTACAAGTATGTACTGTATTTACAGTACGTGCATTCATAAATTTAGATTACTTTTTTCTATACTATATTAAAAACTAAAATTTATTTGTTTGTAAGCTTAAAATAGATCCTTATTAACCATATATTATTAAAAATGGATTAATAAATAAAATACAGAACCAGAAATGGTAATTTATGGTTTAGCCTAGTGACAAGTAGATTCGGAGACAAGTAAATTCAACTTACATCGCCTCTCCTGGAGCCAATTACTGACGTAAGGCGAGGTATACCTGTATATGAAATTGCCTTTTCTTTTACATTTCAAATTATCTAAACTAGAGGTTCCCAATGTTTCCTGCTTGTTGATCCTTTTCCAAAATTAAATTAAATGTTACACCCTTCTATATGATATAAAAGAATAAATTATAAATAGGAAATAAATATTAAATAAAAAAATACTATATCATCAATTTTTATTAAATTTAAATATACAAATTTGAATTTTGATTGTATGTTACTAAAATTTAAAATACAGTTGAAACTGTATCTTGATTCTCATGGGAGCAAGAAAAAAATTTGTGATAGACAGATTTTGAGATATTTGTATATAGTAAACAGTAATAGTTTTGATTGGATACATGGTATTTTATTAATACAATATCATGAACAATACATACCTGTATTAGATAAAAATAAAACATTTTTGACATTCATTAGCAGAAATAGTTTGTCAATAATTTCTGATGCCAGACTTTTGTTGACTGGACAATTTTTTGAAGGTAAGCAATAGCTGCAAATTAGTGATGTAACAAATATTCGGTTACTATTCAGTATTCGGCCTATTTTTCGTTATTCGGCCGAATACCGAATACCTAAAAACAGGAGTAAGAAATGACAAAAACACAGTAAATTAATCATTTTGGTATTTAGATTTAATGTTATCAGGTTAGTGTTGTTTATTTATATTTATTTATAACTTATAACACAAAATAAAAAAGAACATAATATTAGTCATTTGTATTCACAATTTATAATTACAAAGATCAGCACATGTACACACCTATTTGTTTGAGAATCGTCGCACATCTGAGGGTCTGACCCTGCCTATTCTTTTTAAGGGCTCGTCTGTGCTCTTCCCTTTCTCATTCCTCTATCGCTCTAGTCCACGTATGCCTATGCATACATCATAATACGCCCTCACAATACTTTAGATTCATCACTTTTCCGTCGTAGATTCCCCATTTTACAATTATGAGACATATAGGCTGGTAATAACGGAGAAAAGAGACAGATAGGACGTCGATATAAGTCACAGTTATGATTTCATAGATTCAAAACAGCTTGGTAGCCCGAACGACTCCAGGCTTTCGCCCATGCACGCTAAGTGACTTTCATTACAAGCATTTAGCTTTCTGAAGTCTATGACAACAATTGTTTGGCATTCAAGGCCGCAAATTTCAGGCCAATAAGCTGCCTCGACTTGTTCAATTATGTTATCAACTCAATTTCATATTTATTTTCACATTTTCACTTTGCGGTTCTTCTCTGTTCTTCTTCCGTTATTTACACGTGTAGGTCATTTCATTGTTAACCACATTTGATATCATCACTTATCACATACTGCCATGACGCTCTTGTCTGAACTGTCAAGAATTAATGTGATTGGCAAAGCGTAGTGACAGTGGGCCAATAGAGAGCAGGGTCCTTGCCATAATGCAGTTTGCGCGCAAATTTTCGTACGTGCGTTAATCAAGCCAAATAGTTTGGCCGAATATACTATTCATTGCAACACTACTGCAAATGCATCCAACTAATATCTTCCGGACATTCAAGGAAAGTTCTCAACATTGATTGTCTTCTCTGTAACAATCCTCCAAGAATAGTCTATTATCCTCATAGCATCCAAAACATTGATAGTAGAAAGGGTATTGCCATCATTGATGGCATCTATAAGTTTTTGAACCAGTTCTCTCCTGTATCCTACTTTGAAACTTTCAATGATCCCTTAATCAAGAGGTTGCAGCTTAGATGTAATATTGGAGACAAAAATCTTACAGTGATATTTTTAGAGTAGGGAGATTGGAATGATTGTTGCAGTTATCAACAAAAAGAAGAATTTTTCTTTTTTTTTAAACCCATAAGATTTGTCAATTCCTTTCAATCAGCCACTAAAGATTTAACTTGTCCAAGCTTCTGGTTTGCTTTGTACATAGGTTGTCTAAAAATAAACCAAACTTTTCCTCTAGAAAGGAAAAACTACAAGAAATATTTATAAAAATATGTTTATTTATTTGAAATAAGATCCCTCTGCAGCAATACAATGTTTAGAATGAGCGATGAACATTTCAAAAGACTTTCAGTTTTGGCATCTGGTTCAGTACTGCAGTTACAGCATCCTCAACCTCAAGAATGAACTTATAACAGGTCCCAATGAAAGGGACTTGTTACAAGTTCATTCTTGAGATTGAGTTCATTCTTTTGGGAACAGAAAATAGTCACAGGGAGCCAGATTGGGAGAATATGGTTGATCTAGGGTTATAATATCTTTTTGAGCCAAAATTTGACAAACAGCAGTGCTCTTATGGGCACACTGTCATGCAGTAGGGTCCAGCTTCCTTGAGCATGAAACTCTGGCTATGTATGTGAAATTCAGTTCCAGAGACATTCCAAAATACCTAAATAATATTCTCTGGTAACATTATGGCTGTTTGGGACAAATTTCTTGTGTATGATAACCTTGGAGTCATAAAAACAGAAAAGCATTGTCTTGACCTGCAATTTTTGGAAACAAAGTTTTTTGGTGTGGGCTCATAGCATAATTAGAACTTCTAGACTTATAGCTAAACACTTAATTTTCAGAGGCCTGTTTTTTGGAGATGCTTGTAAAGTGGATCCTATTATTTGGACAAGGAACTATTTGTGTTTAGGACTATGTGCTCACCAAGATTCATTCAAATCAGAAAGGCAAACGTTTGTCTGTCTCCTTGTAAGAGGAACAAACTTCTTGGTCAACATTGCACAAACCATTTTCTTACACATTCATCTACATCTAGAAAAGAACATTTTCAATTTTTTTCACTTTCTTGTTATTTTTGAAGTTTCTCTCTACTGAATCTCTGTTCTTTATTATCATTGAAACAGTACTCAATGGAATACCAAACTTGGTCACTTCATTCTTTCTCATCTGAGGATTTCTGTCAAAAATTTTAAGATTTTCAGTTTTTCTTCAATTGAAAGCACATTCAACTTTCTTTTCACACCAGTCATTTGTTCTTCTCAATATCGCAATGAAGAATTTTAAATGATGTGAAAAAAACGTAGGTCAAGAAAAATTCATTAAAATCTAATATAACATGTCACCTAGAATAATAACTAATAAGGCATAAGTCAAACTCTTATCCAATAAAAGAAAAACAGCTTTACTTGCAACTATGTACTGTATTGCAAGAGATGTTTTTCAACTGCAATTTATGGTATGAAAATTAGTGGCTAAACTTTGAAATTGTAATTGACTCTTTTGTCCATAATTTGAGATATATAGATTTTGGGAAAAAGTATTTTAGATAAACATGGAGAATGTATTGAATTTAGGCTAAAAATGCAGGGAAAAAATAAATTTAGAGATAAAGAGATTTTTGAGATAAACATGTTTCAGATAGACAAATTCAACTGTATATCAATCATTTTATTACAATATTATTATTTTAAATATAATTAAAACAAATTTATCAATGATCCTAGTAATTTATTGACCCCCAAATAAACTGATTTCTTAAGAATCACTAGCAGCCAGAAAGCATACCATTAATATAGATTACAGGCAGTAGAATTAATTCAGAATCTATCCTATAGATTATTTCAGTTATTGGTGTAATGCATACGTGACAGGATACTTTTCTCGAAAATCCAATGCCATTTTTTTTAACTGTCATGTGACAAAATATCAGATAACAAATTAAGAAACATAATATATTGAGTTATTTATTTCTCAAATTTATTAATATCATTGAAAAAAATAATGGGAAGATGATCACATCATCACTACCATTTTATTAATAATTCATCTTCTCTATTGTTTATTCACGGATAAAAAGTAGATTTCTGATCTAAAGTGTGAATTTGAGTTTTAATGACTTTTGAGAGTTGTTTATATTTTTTAATCTCTCTTTATATTAAAATCATTTTATTCATAATAACTAATTTTTAAATTAAACCTGTAGAAAATAATGTGGTAATCATCAACAATGAGAATGGTCAACATGCATTGATTTCTTTTGCTAAAGACTATTATCACTATTAAAAGTCATATTAAAAGACTATTAAAGTTATATAATAAATTATATAACTTTTATAATAGTATAATTAACTTAAATGTAAAAGTTATACAATTGTTCTTCTATAATAAGTGCATAAAAAATACTTCTTTAAAAATTAAATCCATATGACAGTAAAAAAAAAATGCTATAAGAATCATAGTACAATAACAATTATAAATTAGGAAATTCAACAAAGAGTTTTTTTTTTTCCTTTTTTGAGTTCTTAAGATTTAAGTTTTACTTTTGGTAAATTGCATTTGAAATTCTTTAGAATGGATGTCTAAACAAAATTTAAAATTTCATTTAAAACAACACCACAATATAATTTTTGATATAAATAATTTCATTATTTTTAGAAGTGAAAATTTCTTCAATAAAATTTTATTTTTTTTAATATTTAATGAATTAATAATGCTTTTACATATAAAAAAAAGTTTAATAATGGAATTTATTATTTGCTAATGCTTTAAAATATTCTATTTGTAACTTTTGAATTTTAAGATTTTGTATACACTAGAACCCTGATTATCCAAGTTAATGTGAACTGATACTATTTCAGATAAAACAGATGGCTACAGTCATTTCGGATTACAACTTATAAATATAAAATATTTGTATGGTTTCACTTTTAAGCTCTTTTATACCTTAGTGAATTTAATAATATGCAAGGACAATATTTTTACTTAGCTAATCTGTACAGTACAATAGTTTTCAGAATAAAATTTTGTATTGTTGAAGTTAATTTTAATATGAATGGTTGTCTCACATTGAAATTAAATAATAAATGGTAACAGAAACATATCATTTTGTACTATCTGTTATCATTTTACACTTTCTTTAAAAAGTTCTTTAGCACTTTTTGTTTCATAGTGGTTTCTTTCTCTGCTGCAAATCTCTAGTCACCTCAGCATCATTTACCTAGGTATGTCAAGGTCTGTCTCTCACTACTTGGTTGCACTCACTATGAGCCTGGCTGAACCCACAATGGCATAGAAAAAAGATCCTCTTAGTGCTCACAGAGCAAAAAAAGTTAAAAAAAACAGTTACCTCAGCATCATTTACTTGTTCAATACAGTTGAGGTTAAAAGCACTGTAGTATTTATGAACTCAGTGCATTCACATCAAAGCTTCTTTTATGAATTATGAGAAAAGTAGTGTATTCACTTACAGATTCACCTTGGATAATATTTCTATATAAGTATATCTAAACAGACATTAACATAAATATTTGTAACATTTTGAAAGATAATTTTTTGCTATTTTAACAGGTTTTGGAATCGTAGAATTAGTATTTACAATAATTCTTATATTAAATCTTCATAGAGTCAACATTTCAAAAATGCATTTATGTTAAACCAAAAAAAAAAAAATTCTTATTTTTACTGGTGTACACCCTGTCTAACCTATTTTAAATTTTTATGGCGATCTTACAATAATTTGTAAAAAAAAATATAATGCTTATAAAGCATATGTAATTGGGGAAATATTCTCATTATAACTAACTCCCTTAATAAAGACACTCACAAAAACAAAGACCAGTTAAAATTCCAACACACTTTACTTATATAAATGTTTTTGCCCATTTAAAAATGGACTTTAACAGGTAAATTATATCAAATGCAGAATCAAACAAAACTCATTAAATAGAACAGAATTCAAATCAAAATGTTCGAATAAATAAAGTCTGTTGGATTTTTATCTGATCTTGATGTTTGCAAGTGTCTTTGTTACATTTAACCAGTTAGTGCAGGTAGTGGATCTTATAATTCACTTAATTTACTAAAGTTACTTAATATAACCAATTCAGCAATTCAAATTGATAAAACAAGTTATATGAATTCAACTACATCTTCATTTCTTAGTTTTGCTTTCATTAATGAAAATTTTTCAGTAGATTGTAAAAAAAATGTTATTCAGAATCTTTTATCATTATTTTTCTGTAGATGTTATATTCAAAGAAAATGAACTGGAATTTAATGTTTTGGATGTTTCAGTTTTTAAATATTACTAGCTTATTCTTCCATAATTAATTTTACATTTTAACCCTCGGTTACGCGCGCGGGGTTATATAGAACCCCCGGCGTGTTTAAACGCGTGTATTTTTTAAAATTTTTTGTGTTTAAAAATGATGCCCTCAGTACCTTCCTTCCATAGTGTAAAGATTGCACCGAAAAAATTTCAATTTTGCACGAAAATAATTTTTTGCATAGACTTATAATGGAAATCAGTCGGGTGCTATAGTACCCCGCGCGCCTAACGGTGTAATTTTTTTTCGCGCGACTAACGGAGGTGGGTCGATCTGACTTCGTGTTTTGAGGGAAAGCTTATTGGTTGATATAGAGTCAGTCATGATAGAAATGACCAATTAGAGCATAAAAGGCGTAAAAACAAAATTTTTAAAGCCAATAAACGGCAAAAAAGTTTCCCATAGACTTAACATTGTCAGTTTGAAAGGTGGCGTTTTTTGGCGATATTTATTGCTAAATGGTGTTGAAAACATGTTTATTCGTCTAAATAATTTCAAGCGACTTATTATTAGCAAATTAGAAGTGGAAAAAAAGATTAAAACACGCGATTTTGTAGCGATTGTTTACATACTTCCGTGTGGTGGCCTTCGGGGGCGTGGCATTTCGCGGGAATATTTCTAGCAATTGTTTTTATAGGTCGATCTAATAACAGACATATAAATTAACCAATTACAGTGCAAAAGAAGTTTACTATCGATGTTATCTGC